TTTTTTTTTTTTTTGCACCTGAGGGTCTAATCATCTTATTAAGTGATTCAGACTCGTAGTGTCCTAACAAGGTAATTAAATGTCAGTATAACTGAACTAAAGCTACTAAAATGCAGTTCATGGAAGGTAAGACTGCATACGGACAGCAAGATTCCGGAGTCCTGTCCAGTTCATGAGCCCAGGGACCTGTCCCAGTGAGGTGACAACCTCCAGTACAGGAAAGACCTGGGTGTGAGTTAGTACCTGGCTTCCTTTTCCTCAGGGCCCTTGTTCCCATGAAGGAAACACGCTCCAGACAGGTCCATGCCAGGAGCCCAGACATAAACTCTCTAACTTTCCCAAAGCAGTCTTGTATCCTGGTTTGCTATAACCGTTAGAAACAGCCATCATTTAATACGGGTAATCTAATCTCACTCTGTTTTAAAGAGTTTACATATGTACGTGGGAATAGCTGTTGCACTAGCAAGCCAGCTATGGCTACGTGTGGCCACATTGCTGCTGTGGCCTTGACAGTAACAGCCCTTTCATTTCTGGATGCTGTTCTGACAATGTTCTTGTTAAGCTGWTTGTTTTTCATAGCTAGGAAGATGTAGCCTTTCCTGCTAAGTGGTCATTTTAGTCCCTTCAGCTTAATGATGTGTTCAAACCAATGTGCTGTCATGCAGAGACATATGTTAGAAAGCAGGCTCGATATTGTCACAACATCGGCTGTTGAGATTTGAGAACGAAACAGCAGTCCTCAAGGTGGCCTTTGGGGAAAAGAATAGCACATCTGGGAGCAAGCTCATGGATCAGCTTTTGCAGCGCTTCAGAAGCAGACAGATACTGTCAGGATTAACTACTCTCAGATTTTGTATCACCATTATGTGAAATTTCTGAGCATGCTAAAGATGAGTTAGAGCATCAGCTGGCACAAGCTGGAGGTGCATCCATATCCTTCATTATTTTTTAAATAGAAAAGCTTTTTATCTGATAAGCATGACTTAAGGCTGGTTTACCCGGGATGCTCATTTTGCTGTGGCTGACATAGTTAAAGAGTACAAACAACCAGAATGGGCAAGTTATATTGGATGCTCATATTGATGCCTGTCGGATTCCTCTACACCACAGTAACTTCATCTGCTGTTAGGTACTTTTAGCTAAATTCCCTTCTAAGTCATTCAGGGGTTAGACACAGAGGTTCAACTAACTTGCCCATCAACGCGAACCGTTCACACTTTAGAGACAATTCTGGTTGTGAGGTGAAGCATCCTAGTTCAGACCTCTTTCTTTGGGCCTTTCCCCCTCTTGCACATACCAGACATGTTCTTCCACACCTGGCTATCGTGGCGGAGATGCTGCAGGCCCCAGCTCCACACCTGAGCTCACCAGATGCAGGTTGCTGCCCTCTCGGCTCAGCGCATGCAAAGGAAGACCTGAACATTTCCTAGCTGGCTGCAGTGCCAAAGTTTGCCCTGCAAGTGGGCGAATCCCACTGGCTCCTCGCTGAAGAGCAAGGCGCCTCCTCACTCTTCCCATTGCCCCACTTCTGCTGAGAGAGCAGGAACCTGCAGCTGGGGAAGCAGTGACTTCCTCTGCTGTTTGCAAAGCAAATTCATGCCCGTCCCTAGGGCTGTCCAGCCTCACTCAAGTGTCGGTTATGGAGGCTGCTGGCCCCTGCCCCTTGTTGTTTCTCCCCCGTGATCTGTTTGCAGAGGTGCTTGTGCAGGCACCCTGTAACCCACTTCAAACGAACCRGGTTAGCAAAAGCCTCCTGCGTAATCCATTTAAGTTAATTCTGGCTGGGCTTGACCAAAGTAGGGTAGGGGGTGCCCACACGAGCCGCTCCGCAGGCAGATCTGAAGAGGTGGCAATTTCCATGGGAAGCAGCAGGATGGGCTGGGCGGGAGGRGCGGATCTGAATCAGCGCCTTCCTCCCTCACACGGCTGCATGGGGTGGACGCCGGCTCGCACGGCGCCCACAGCTCGGCCCGCATGGCGCCCACGGCCCGGCCCG